TAGGGCCTCACCTTGCCTGGAGCGAGCAGCTGCCAATAAGACAACACAAAACGACCCCAAACAATAGAAATTCCCCACATTAAGTCATCTAAGAGAACGCTATTTGAAGTAATTGCTAAAGTGGGGTTAAGAGGTGCCGTTCAAAACACTTGGCGAGACGACAATTGAAAGACCTTCCGAGGTATGACAACAACACAGATGGGTAGATTTAGATTTATTTTTGAAGGAAAGTTGATCTATATGTTTGGTGAGACGTTGGACTTTTGTGTGTTTTTTTTCTCGGCATTGACCTTTCTAAATGCTACCACACCCCTCCAATCTTCCTCACGTGCATTGGACCATAAACCAGCGGGCTCTTGGCGCAACTCTTCACCCTGGCAAGGCCAAACACCTTTTGTTGTACCTGCCACTCCCCGGTACACTTGGTGCTTGGACATAAAGGGCGGCATGTACACAGGGTGGGCCAGCAACAATACGCACAACCTGTAACTCGATCCTCTCAGGCTTCCTAAAGCAGCAGTAAAACGTCTTCTCGCTGTCACGAGTCCGGAAATCTCGCGGACTAACAAGTGACGCGCCTTTGTTCCCGTGGCCCTGGGCCACTAGGCATCATTGCATCAGCTGACCCTTCACGCAACTGGTGTGACATTGGCTGGGGTCGTGCGGAGGTCAACCACTACCTGACACAAGCCAAGTGCGCTAATCCCGCACCGGGATAGAAACTAATCCGCCAAGCACCCCCATACACATGGAGACGTAAGCTTCCAAATCCTCAATCCGCGGGATAATACCCTCTCCGGTCTAATCTCCGGCTTTCCAATAAAAGACGAACTTCTGACACTTGTTCTCGCTCGTGAAAGAAAACACGTTGACGAGACGACTTGGCAACACCTGATTCCCTGCTTGACTGACTTGCGGGGACACTGAAGGCTCAGTGAGACCCTTAAAGGACAAGCTATTCAGTCAATATTGGGAGAGCAACAACAGGACGATCCTCTTACAGTGCCAGACAGGGCAAGGGACAAGGTAAAGACAAGGATGTCTAAAAATAAAACTACCTTGACAACCAACGCACCTTA